GTACGTAGCTACTTCCCAAGCACTTGTGGTTGAAGACTACTTCTCTGGCTCTTCGGCTGACACTGACCTTTGCTCTCTCTTTCCTCTCCCACTCTCTKAGCAACCACTCGACCGCCTCCACGATTGCCTCATGCGGTAGCGAAGTAAACATCTCCTTGATGTCATAACTGCGGAGCACCATCATCGCGCTTTCTTTCTTGCAGCCACACTTTTCCTCGATCATCCTGAGGTTTTCCTTCAGCTGTGTCGTCGCACCTATGTTGAAATCCTCAGCAGCAGGAAGTCGCGCGAGCAAAGCATTGAGCGCCCTGGCCAATCTCCTGCTACYTGTCCTTGTTGGTTCCGTATTGGCGGGCGCAATAGCTCTCCACTTGCTGAGATCCTTATGTTTAGGCAATACGTATGCATTGCCTATTCGGCCTTTTCCGTTCCAAACAGCCACCTTCTCCAATCCTGTTGCTTTATAGTCGGCCCGCATCCCTGCCAAAATTTCGGTTTCGTCTCCACTGGCGCGTATGTAAGCGCTGTCATAGATGAACATCTTCTTGAGGGCATGCTGGTATGTCGACGGGCACATCAGTACTAATTCCCCAGGATTTCTGTCCACTTGAGTAATGACCAGCTGCCGGAATTTCCATCTTAGCTGCTTCACCTCCTCTTCCTCGACTGCCCATCCATTGCCCACTCTTTTAGCGAAGCAATCTTCCACTTGAAGCTCTTGTTCTTCGATTTTCAAACTCGCTCCCAACGTTAACTTCAGTGATGCGAAGACTCTCGCCCTGAGCTCAGTCTTTCCTGTCTTTCTCGCCGTCTTGGTGATGTTCTTCCCGTTGCAGATTTGCTGGTTGATGCCAGGGACTTCAGTGATTCTGGTATGCACGTGTCCATCAACTCTATCCAAGTCGAATTCAACACACATACACTCTCCAACTCCCGTCTTTGCTGCTACCCTGTGGTTACAGAGTATGCTCGCCACCGATCTGTTGCGGCTCCAAACCAGCCGCGCTCTCCTTACTAGTGTACCTTTAATGGCCTGGTGCAGCCTTGTTTCGCAAATCTGTCCCTCCATGACTGCTCTTACTTCCCTTTTCCTTATCTCGTTGTCATATCTGAGAGACATTGTTGCCTTCCTTCTGATGTTCACCCCCTCCTTCTGGTTGATCACCCTACCAATCATATCCTTGATTTTCCTCCTCGTCTCCTGTGTAACCGTTTGAACGYCGTGAACGCGCGTTCGCGTTCAAATGCGCGTTTGAACGCGGATTGCGCGTTCGCGTTCAAAATTGAGCGACGTGCAATTTTTTTTCTTTTATTATTTAAAACAAAAAAATTATTTTAATGCCTAAAACTAACTTTTTTTTTCTGATTTTGTTTTTATGAGTTCTGTATGATGTGAGGTACATGCCTCTCAATTKAGGAGTCATTTTGCTAAGGCAAAAAAAAAAAGAAAAATCGCCAAAGATGGCGGTGTCAAATCGTGTTCGCTCAGTAATCTGAATTCTTTTTTTTACTTTTTTTTAATTTTTGTTTTCTATTTGTTTTTCCAATTTGGTAACGAATTTAGATGTAATGCTCAGGCAAATGTTGTTTATTTTATTTTTCTTCATAACATTTTATTTTTTCGTAATTTTTTGAGGGTTTTGTTTTTTTTTTTTTTTTTTTCCCGCGCGGAATTGAACTCCGCGTTCAGTCCCGTTCATTGAACGCGCGTGCATTCCGTTCAATTAATGAACGGAAAACCCGCGTTCAATGAACGCGCAGTTTCACAACTCGTCTCCTTTACCGGGAAAGCACCTGCGCCAGAGTATAGCTGCATTATCTTACCCGCCTCCATCGCCCACAGTTCCTTACGCTTATAAGGTACTTGTAGTAAGAACGTAAGGTAATGCTTACATCTATCACGGGCACTCTCTGTCCGAGAAATAACCTTAAGCCAGAATCTCCCCCCCTTCTCAATCAGGCATTTAGCTTGCGCTAAGGCTACCGTTTTGCCGTTGTGCACAACCGAAGTCGCGCCATACACCCTTTTTGTCGCTGCCYAGTTYTCTCCCCAAATCTGCCCACCACTACTCACTACGCAAGSTGATCTACCCAGTTTACTTGCGCATTCTATGATTTTCCTGAGGCTTGTGTTCGCCTCCCTTTCACCTTGCAGGCTGAAAGTGATCAGGGACTTTCTTTCGAAAGACCTCCGCTCCTCCAAGTTTTTCCCTGCTCGTTGTCTCTCCCTCTCTCTTTTCCCCAGCATGCTTCTCTTTTTCCCTTTATTTCCTACACCTACCTTATTCAGTGCGGGGGATAGACGCTTGATAACCGTGGTCTCGAGCGTTCTAAGCCCAGTGGTCTGCGTCGTCGCTATAGGGAGAATGATGTACTTCTCCCATCCGAAACGGCGCAGCCAGTTATATAAGCTCGGTGACCTTCCTTTGTCACCGTTGATCGCACATCTGATATGCTCCCACCATCTCTCTGCTGCCCCCCTCACTGTCTGGCGAACGTAAATCTTCTTACACCAGGGCGACAACAGACAATACACTACTGGCTGCTTCAAAAGGAAAAAATCATGGTTCCGGGGTGCTAAGTTCAGCACCTTACCTRCCCACGGGATCWGACCCCGCTTAGTTAGGTACACCAGACAGGCTGCCAATGCTTTCTCGATCGAGAGTCACAATTTTGCGCAGCCTGTAAGCCCCCAGATSTCACCTCTCAACCGCAGCAATCTTGCCATGTTGTCCCACACTTCCGCATCTGAGGGCAAACACCATCAATCGGAGTAATACTCCTCCTCGTTGATCTCATCCAGGTCAGCGCCATCCCCAGCGTTGTCCGTCGACTTTTCCTCATTTAGCCATCCCTCGTATGCCAGCCTTGTCCTCGCACGTACCAGCTCCCTTACTCCTTGCTCTTTGTTAACGTATTCCAGTCCCTCCTTCATGCAGAGATTTTTGATCTCCTGCGCTGTCATCTCCGAGTATTTCTTCCTGACGTTGAGCACATATTATATCACTTCTTCCCTACTGCAGGTTGYCGGAACTTTCTTGTCCACTCCTTGTCCCTTTGCGCTCGCACTTTGCTTCTCTGGTCTCGGCGTCACCTCTCCCCCATCATCTGTCTCTTCCGSTGACCCCATCCTTCTCGCTGTTCTCTGCCCTCTATTCTTTCGGGTSAAAAACCACCTCCCACGCTCCTCTCCCTCTCGGGAGCTCTCGACAACCTCTCCTTGCAGGTACTTCAGAAGCTCATCAGATTCTGCAGCATGGTCATCCAATAACTTCGCCTTTCCTTTCCSCTTTTCTTTGGGGGTCCTCGATCTGGCTGCCAGCGTCGTCTGTATGTCATTACGGATTTCTGCTCTGAAGTGATGCATTTCCCTTGCTACGATAGAGATGATCCGTAGCTCAGTCTCCTCGTTGAGTCGTCTCAGCTCTGTCTGCCTGCGTTCTTGCTCCTGCCGGAGCCTCCTCTCCTCCTCTTCTCTTCTCACCTTTTCTTCTTCTTCCCGCTTCTTTTCCATTTTCTCTTGTTCCTTCCTCAGCTTCATCTGCATCCATTCCTTCATAGTTTTCACATCATCTTCAAAGCTCACGCCTCTTCTTCCAGTACCTAGCGTTATTAGTAAACGAGCCCTGCTGCTGCTGCTGCTGCTGCTGCTGGGGAGTGCCCGCGGTACCTCCAGCGGGGCAGTCCCTAGCAAAGTGGCCAATTTGTCCACAATTGAAGCAGCCCCTATTGCCAGCATTGTTCCCCATTCCATCTCCCCTGTTCGGTGTCGACATTGCACCTGCCTTCTTGTCTTGGTTCGTTATCGCCAATATCTGTCACCGCTCTTCTCACAGCGTCTTCAGTCACTCAGACTCGACTACTTCCGGTCACGCTTAACAACGCCACTATCGCTAATATCTGTCACCGCTCTTCTCACAGTGTCTTCAACCACTCAGACTCGACTACTTCCGGTCACGCTTAACAACGCCACTACCTATGTCTAACCTCCCAATGTCGACGTAGCCACGAACGTAAGTGTCGCCTCTCACTCGGTTGCTACGCTTCCATGAAGATAGAAGACAAGCAATGGCCAATTGCCTTTTACACACAAATCAGTATATTTCAAAATGTATCAGCGTGTACACATGCTCGGAAACGCGCATGCATTCCTCTACGTTTCAACCGGGTGCGCTCCGGTCTCATCAGGAGGCATGCCACAAACCCAGCGYCTTGGGGCCCACCTACACTTACCACCCACGAGCGTATGAGGGCCGTTCTGGCCTTGCCCTCAATTAATACCTACAGCATTCCCTTGCACACACCCGTCACATTCTCTTCGAAGTCCTGATTGGCYAAACCATCMTGCGTCGKATCCGCGTACGGCCCTCCGCAGCCAGCTCAATCTCTCATACGTGTGTACTACGCGTGTGCTGGACTGCCATGMTCTTCCCAGGTAGTTCACGTATTCGCTCTGATCCGTAGGTACCWRGTGTTTCAAATTCGTAGCCTACACTTCCTATTCCCGCCCGAAATCCGTTACTCCACCTGTCTCCACTGTGCCCTACACGTACCTCAGTTTCCCTCCGAATTTTGAAACAACGCGGGCACTGATACCGCCACAGCGTGCCCGTTTTCCAATCGTTGGTGCCCGCCTATCGTGCGTGTTGTAACGGACTAGAAATTATCCTAACCCCTACTGACTATCGTACAGCTGCTATCTGCGGGTCCTACCAGGTTTATTCCTCGGACTAATCTACAGCACACCCAGGCTATTGTACATTTCCCTGTATCTAATACCCAGCACTGCCATGGTCTCATTACTCCATCCGCCACGTATCACAAATTCTCACCGAACTTTGAAAACCCCGCGGGCACAGGGACTACTACAACGCGCCAGATTTTTCAAACGTCGGCGCTCACAACCGTACGTACTTTCTAAAACTGACTAGGAATTTCGCAGTCCTCCCAATTTTTTTTACGTCTGCCCCACCGTATTTTAATTTACAGTATTACCCCGTTTTTCTCGTATTTCCTACATATTTTCTGCGTATGCCCCCGCCTAGCCGCTATTCCCAAAAACATCCGGCACACCGAAATTAATGGTTTACTCTATTAGTCTAAGACACTCCAGCGGCGGGGCCATCCCCCCCCTCTCTCTCACCCCGCACGCGCTGTCCTATTCTCGTACGCTAGAATCCTACCGTTACCTAATAACCTTGGCCTTATACCACGCTGTCGAGGAGCAGTCTCCATGCTCCCTCGCCAGCGGTGGTACCCCTCGCAAACTTCCCCAGGGAGGATGCGAAGATTGAGGCTTATCAGAAATTTTGTCAGCCATATATGTGTTGATGTCCATACAGGGCACGGGCTAGGCCGTGCGTGGCATATATACCCAACTGGAACCTCGACAGCCCAGTCTGTCCAGAATGCATGAGACTGATATACTCAGACATGCCACCTCACCTCACCTGACGTGAAGTTCAATGATACCCTTGAGAGAGGCACTGCATTGCGCAGGGGCCAACCTTGCAATCCTATTGTAGCAGACTGTCTACTTCGATCCCCTGACCAGAAGGGCCACAACAGGTCCAGGGAATCAGTCTGACAGTGTTACAGAGGCCACAAAGTGTGTGCGTGTGCGTGTGCGTGTGCGTGTGTGTGTGACCCCCGACCAGAAGTGCAATAGGTCCAGGAAACAAATCTATTACAGCCACACACACACACACACACACACACACAGACACACACACAGAGAGAGAGAGAGAGAGAGAGAGAGAGAGAGAGAGAGAGAGAGAGAGAGAGAGAGAATAGATCGATTAGATGTAGTACTTCGATTAGATAGATATTCTCTCAGAGAGAAGAAGAGAGAGAGTCTCAGACAGGAAGAAAGAGGGATCAAGATCCAGGTCGACATCGAACTAGCTATCGATCGAACAATCTAGAGAGAGAGAGAGAGAGAGAGAGAGAGAGAGAGAGAGAGAGAGAGAGAGAGAGAGAGAGAGTAGATCGATTAGATGTAGCACTTCGATTAGATCATAGATATCCTCCCAGAGAGAGGAAGAGAGAGTCTCAGACAGGAAGAAAGAGGGATCAAGATCCAGGTCGACATCGAACTAGCGATCGATCGAACAATCTAGAGAGAGAGAGAGAGAGAGAGAGAGAGAGAGAGAGAGAGGAGAGGTGGCCGGGAAGGCAGGGGAGGCAAATCTGGCGTAGAAATAAAAAAAAATGAGTGTTGATGGAATGAGATCTACGATATAGACAGACTCAAGGAGGGGACAATCTGTTTGTTTTTTGCTTTTTTTTTGTTTGTCATTTGAAGTCGCAGACAGTGCCAGACACTTTTGTGTTGTTGCGGACATCGGCTTCTGCCTTGGGCAGCCCAGGGGCGAGGTCAGGGTCAGGTCCCGATAGCAAAGAGGATGTTGATTACACGCCTGAATCTGGCTTTCTGCATCTCTGCTTAAAACACATCCAGATTCGGCTGCTTACAGAAGAACGGGATTGATCTGTCTTTCTGCATCTCTGCGTAAAACGCGTCCAGATTCAGCCGCTCACAGAAATCCTCTGTGCTAGTGGGACCTCGCTCCAGTTGATTCAGGTACACAGCCGTATCTCTGCCCAGGCTGCAGGGTCTATTCGTCGGAAACGCCCGGTCATGTTAGTTGTATCTGGACTCAAAATTGCACCAAATACGTCTGTAATGACCGGGCGTTCTATTCTCATGAAGACGGTAGCTGCTCGCCTCGGCTACCACCTTCCCCCGAACACAACGCACCCTCATAATGAATGTATGTAAGCTATGTTTCCAGTCCGGTACAGCCATAATGAGGGTGCGTCGTGTTCAGGGAAGACAGCAGCGTCCGTCTGTCTTCTTTTCTTTTCTCTTTTTTTTTCTTTTTCTTCTTCTTGTT